AAAAAGTTCTAAACATGTTAGTTAAATCATCTACAGTCATGCTTGGTTAAAAGGAAAGGAAGTAGAGCTCAGTGAAAGAAATGGGCAAAATGCTACATAGAAAGCAATGTGTCTAGTAATATTAAGCATTAATCATGAATTTAACTTAGATTTGTCAGTAATAGTAAGATTAAATATGAAACAGTTTGATTTCACTGATTTAATATTCACTGAGGTATTGAAATTAAAAATATTTTGTAAATTTTGTAACAGAATTATGGGCTACAGACATAGCGGTAAGAAGCAGGCTTAACCTCACATGCAACACTAACTCTGCAGAGGCATTAGACATTAGGCTTATGTCCAGGGAATGTCAGCTACCACCTATAAAGATGGCTCAGGAGTTCTTCCCTGTCTAGTGAACAGACTTCCATGGGGTTGTTTTTCATAAATAGAGGGCTTTTTAAGTGTCTTAGGCAGTCCATCTATTTGACAGATGACCCTGATCAAAATGTTTCAGAGCAAGTTTCTCATCCTCGTCACTCAAAAAACTTCCAAGATTGGGTTTTCATCTTTATGTGCCCGGCTGTCACCATCCACAGCTGACAAATAATAATAATTCAAGCAAGGTTAATTTAAACCTGAATCTACTGTATTAGCAACCACAGTGCACAAAACTGAAGGCCTTCTCAGCCTTACGGCTACCTTGAGAGAGATTCGGTTTCAGGGCTTGAATTGTAAATCTGTCCCTATGTACAGGGTGGGAGACTGGATTAGTAATGTGACAGCCACTCACTGAAGACATGCTACTGTAATGCAAGCCTTGTTTGGGAGCTATGCTGTTAAGACATTGATATTGTTAAAATCATTGCCATTTTTCCTATTCTAAATAATCTCCAGGGACTAGAGCCACACGGGCACATTTCAGTGGAAATTATCTAAGTCCTTTATAGATCTGGGCCCAAGTGCGTGCAGCTCTGTCAGACAAGAAACCACCCAGCAATCTTTCCTCTTTTACTAAAAGTTATTTTTATTTACTATTCTTTCACCAATTCATTTACCAGTGTCTCTATAAAGATATCCTCCTATTATCAGCCCAGTACAGCATGCTGCTCTTCTCTTTCAAGGTAGCTACAGGAAAAAAAAAAAAACATTCCCAATAATGTGCTCATCCAAGCTCATGTGCACACAGAACAACTTCAGTAGTTCTATGCCTTCTGTAGAATTTAACTTCTTGTTGAAAATTAAGAGCTCTAGGTCCTTGAAGACGTTCCCCCAGCATGACCTGTAATTCAGCCTTAGCACAGACCCTACTGAGCAGTCCTGTCTACCTATGAAACACGTGACTGAGGTGGACATCAGGTGAACTCCTCCACCTCTTTCAAAAGTTAGCATGGTCTGAGCTGTTCAAGTTAGAGTATCTAACTGGGTTAGCAAATGTGTGAGCCTCACCTCTTAGAACACTGGATGTATATAAGACTGCTAATTAATAAATAACTTAAAAAATAAGAAAAAAATCTCTCTCCTGAACATAACACTTTCTCTCCAAGTCCCAAGAAGTTAACCTTTGCTTTAATATTACTAGATTGAACAGTACATAACAGTAACTAAATCTAAGAGCTCTGGAAATTAGTCACCCTTGTTTCATACTCATTTGCATTTCATGGTGGGCTGTCTGTAACATGCAAAAGGTTCACATCCCAAATAACAATTTCCTTGTGATGGTTTCCTGTATGTTAAGGCACTAGCTTAACCTGCAACCTTTCCCCTCAGTTAGAGCACTCCTGTCCATCTGGCAGGCTACCTCCACAAACTCAAAGGAATCTGCACTTTGCAATGAGATGCATGGAGCACTACTGAACACAGAGACACCATTTCCAGCTCAGGAAGCGTCCACAGCTAAAAACAGCTGGAGGCTTAGAAAGTACCTAAGAGGAATACAACATACACTCACTTGCTCTTACTAGTCCCCAGGCAATCCCCACATCTATGGTAACTGTTGGAAATGGGATAATGGGCTATTTGGCCCTCTGGCCTGACCCTGTAAAGCTGTTCTTATGTGCTCTTCTCTCTGTTAAATGTGACTAATGGGTCAAATACTTTTTGGAAAGGGAAGAGGGCAAAGGGAAGAAACAACATCTATTTGCCAGTGTTTTTTCAATGAATTAACTAAGGTTCATCCAGCATTCTAGTTTCAATTTAGCTCTTGGGGTGCCAGCTCTAGGCTGGTTTCCTCAAAGCCAAAGGAGTACGTATGCATAAACCTCCGTACCAGTTTCCCAGATGCTACAGGAAGGTTTATGAGGTCAGACACAGTGCTCTGCAAATGCTTATGACCAGTTTCCCTCCTGTGTTGTGTTCAGCTTACAACACAGTGTGCTGGAAAAAGCAGTCCAGAAACATCACAGAATCTCTTTGGTCATCTCTGCACCATTATCACTCCAATGGGAAGGTTTATTGAACTGGATCCATGTATTCACACAATGCTATGACTGACCTCATAAGCCTACTATGACCTATGTTCGTGAGGAGAGGATGCACAGGAAGCACCTTCACATGCAGGCAGCTTCAGAATGGCATGGCTTCAGACTCATTGGGCAAAGCCTTTAAGTCTAACTAGATACAAGCTGTCTCCAGGCTCACCACTGAGGTGTCCATGCATTGGAGTCCTGGTTCTAAGACAGCAGTATCCCAGTAGGATAATAAACTTTGTTGGAAAAAAAGCTTTTGATACCATGAATGTGCAGGTAACAACACATACCCCAGATAATGTGAATGTCTAACAGAGAATCAACTGCAATTTTACAAGTGCTGAAACACTCCTGAGCTTTCCCCAACTCCCTCCAATGCTCCTGAATATCAGTCATGGAAACAGGCAGCCATCACCTCACCAGGCAGCACAGCAGAAAATAAAACTATACGCTCCATATCCTGGTCAGGGTTCAGTCTGGATCAGCTCAGTGCATTCACATTCTGTTCTCAGGAACAAAAGCGTGTGAGCTACACTGCTCCGACCCCGACTGTGTTAACGCTGCCAGAAAGATCCTGCCGGGCCAAGTTGATCCTGAGTCCTCCAGACTCCGGAGCCGGCTCCGTGCCCCGGCCTGCCCGCGGCCACCGCGGGGAAACTTTCTGGGCGAGGAAGCAAGGGCCCTCCACTCCTCTAAGGGCTGCTGGTGGGGCGCTCAGCGCCTGCGGGGTCACCGAAGCAAATACTTCCGCTGGCAAAATATATGCTTAGAACATTAAAAACACACACCCTCCTCCCCCCCCAAAAAAACCCCAAAACCAACATAAGTCCCTCAAAGACCCCACACGTGGCGGCCCCGCGGTTACGGACGTGGCCGAGAACAGGCGGCGGGTGCGTAGAGGGGCGGGTGCCAGAGACGCCCTGGGCTGGTGGAGAGCGGGGAAAGGGCTGGTTGTGGTTCTCTGCTGGGCGTTCATCGCCGGCCGGGATCTGCTCAGCCCCCGCCAGGCCGGGAAGGGGCATTCAGAGCTTGCGGGTCATGAGCTAAGGTACATAACTAAGGAACTTGACTGTTGTGCGAGAGGGCTGTGAAGACGGAAGTCAAGTTCCCTACACCCAGTCACCCGCCATTACTGTAAGGGGCTGGACAGAAAACGAGTGTTCTCCAATGTATTTGCTTTACTGTAGTGGGGGGAGATGCTGAGAAGCTGCTTAAGCATGAGAAAATAAAACTTGTCTGTTGGAACTGTAGTATTGCAAAGATCTGGGTTCACAGTGGGAACTATAAATGAGAATTTTCTCATTGTGTATTCCATATCTCAATCCCGGTCCTTCAACAGTATATTTTATTTGAGTTTAGCTTCTGCTAGTGAATAGAGCTATTCTTATGTCTGTACCAAATTGTGCTCCATAATTTTGAGCAATACTGAATTCCTCTGTCCTTCCTGTTTGCTGACATGTGGATGGTATTTTATAGACCCCTGGTGGTGTGTGTTTATTCCATGCTTTCCTGAGACCTAAATGAGTTGTATTTCTTTGAATCATGTAATGTGGTGGTGCTTGGCGTTGCCATAAGCACCTCTTAAATACATCTTAGAGCTCACAAATCAAGTTAAAAGTAAAATCTTTCTTCCATGCCTTTGTTGAGGCTCTGATGCTTCTGAGCAGGGAAAGCTGGAACAGGCTTGTTTTGTCCTTACAACTTGTCTGGGTTTGAAAGACAGATGGGAAAGTAGTCAGGTAGGAAGCAAACCTGAAAAGAAATGTTTCACCTAAGGAAGTAGGGAAGGAGAAAGAACTGTAGGAAATGGAAAGGACAGACACGCCAGGGTAGCATTGTCTGTCCCAATGGTAATTACCTCTATTTGCTTTGTGCATCTGGACTCAGAAAGACTGTGGGGATGGCATGTTTTGTACCTGTAGGAGACAGTTTCTTGTGGTGTTCTGTAGTGCTTTCTTCCCTCTAATAAGATGTGATACATAAAGGACCTCATTTTCTACAGCATTCTCAGTGCAGTGCAAACCTGTACTAAAACATATTGTAATTTTTGCTTGTGAAAACGTATTAGGTGATTAATGTTTTGGTCAAAGGATATTAACAATTTTTAATGTCTATGTGTATATGGTAGTTTTTCTAAGACATGGCAGTGTGCACATGTACATCAGAAATTAGAGTTTAGTAGGAATTTTTTGGTACAGAAATTTCTCTGATTTTAAAATCAACGCACACTCTCTTGGACTCTGGAATTAAAGTAATTTTGTAGCCATAGCTTGGCAGAAGAGGAAATTAGTAAAGATTTTTTGTCTTAATTTAGGATTTAATGATTCATATTGGATTAGGCTGCAAATAGTTGCAAATATTTTTTGCTCCTCACTAAAGATGAATTCTTTTGGAAATACACATTTTCCTCTCAAAGAACTGTTGTAATTTAGCAAGGTGACTGAGGACCTTGCAAATATTTGAGTTAATTAAAATGAGTTATTGTATCCTTTACAACAGTCTCAAAACAATAGCTTGGCATATGCAGAGCTGCTCACATTTTAAAATGTGAATGTTAATTTTTAAAGCATTCTGAGATACTTTGTACACATTTTAGGTAAAGAAACATGCAGAGGTAATATGATTTGCTCTAGGCCAGAGTGGCAAAAATTAAAAGAAGTCCATCTCAGAGACTTCTGGATTTAGTTAATACTGGATAGTTTTAAGAGGTTATGAATTTCTGAAATTATGTAATACAAATTATGTAGTCTGAGAGAAGGGATTCAAGCAGAAAAGCACTGCAAGACTGTAACAGTGTCTTTGGTTGTTGGTTTGTTTGTTTATTTGTTTTATTTCAGAAGGCTGAGACCAAAGAGGAATTTGTTAAAGTTAGAAGGAGGGATTTGGAAAGGCTGACAACTGAGGTTATGCAACTGCGGGATTTCTTACCCAAAATAGTAAATGGGGATATCCTAGGGACGTTCCAGAAACTGGATGCTATTGAATCAAGTGAGTAGCACCATGTTACAAGCTCTTACAGGTTCTGCCAAAGCTGCTTAGAACAAACTGTCATGCCCCTACAATGTGGAGGTATTCCAGATCAAACTATGATGTTCAGTGACTGCTTCAGTAAATTTATGTGTTTGTAATGAAGTAAATTACAAACTGCATTAGAAATAATTACATGTGACGAATCTTTAAAAATATTTTATTGTGGATAAAACCACACTTAGTTCAGACAGTAATGGAAGATATATCATGAAAACAGTGGGTCCTCTTTGAGAAGAGGCAAAATCATTCTGTTTTTCAAAATGTCACCTTAGATGCACAGCAAAAAAATGTGGTAAGTAACTGTCTGTAAAAAGTTAAATTTAAAGGAAGAGATAATACCATTGTATTTAGCCTGTCTTGTTTTTTAGCTTTTATGCTTTTATCGCCATAAATATTCATAATTAAAAAAAAAAAAAAAAAGCCGGAGACCCTCTGTTACGAAGGTCTTTTTACTGCTGTCCCCAAAGGCCAGTATTTCAGTGTTATGATTCTCTGTGCATTATTTTTTCAACAGTTGCACCACTCCCAGCATGCCATCAAAAGCAAATCTGAGCCAGCTTTATCCCTAGCCTGTAGCTTCCATGAAGCAGTACAATTCACCTGTTCTAGGAACTGGTTTTTGTCTGAAAAGACACTGGACAAACACTGGGACAGATTATTCTAGAAGAGATACACTTCTATATCAAGTGATTAATTGAAAATTAATTTGCAACAGCTAGCTAAGAAAGACTAAGAGCCTCAAGGCCTGTCTCCAATACCGAGTAATATATTAGGGTTTATACCCTAATACATCCAGCTGCCTCAATGATCCTCTCTTTGGAAAGATTCTTCCATGCCATCAGATCCTAACAGAGATGAGAAGACTGTAACACCTCTTTTGCTGCCAGTTGAAACATCATGTGTCACAAGAAGTGACATAGGATCAGGAAATTTTATCTTTATGCTATTGCAAGGCATCAAGGACTGTTTCCAGTTGCATTGTGTTCAAGATCCTCAACTAGTCAGATCCTTGTTTTACCTACTTCTATCCGCATTCAGTCTCAAGATTTCTCTCACTGATCCTTAAGTTTCTTGTTACCAGGCATCAAGGAGACCTTGTCAGGGCCTACCAGCAGGAGGTTTGTGGCATCAACATGGAGATTAAGATTTTCCTTCAAATGTTCTACTGGCTGGCCAGCAGCTTTCTGTGGGTCTGTTGGAGGAGTACCTGAAGCTGAGTCAGCCTTTGAACTCTCTTGAGTATACCCCCGCAGTGGAGATTTCTTTTGAAATTAATGAGGTCAGTTGAATATTTATTCAGGCTCTTGCCATTCTTTGCCCCTGCAACGGGACAAGTCAAGTGATTTTTGTTACTCTGGTCTGCTCCTACCTCTGCAGCATACAATAGGTCAGACTTAAAGGAGGTTTTGGGGCATAGAGTTCACAAGAAGGTTGGACATCACAGGGACACAAGCAGTCTTCAGTCTCAGAATGGTGAATTCTCTTGTGCTGTTTATTAAATACAGCCTCTTGGTGTTGGCATATGAAGCTTACAGGGGTCCTGGCAGCTACTAGAGATGTTTTTTCACATTGTTCTTGCAGAAGCCTAGTGGGTGATTTGTACATCTACCTAGACTTTTCATCAGCTATTGCAGTTTTCTGAGTATTGTAAACATGAAGTGGTTAGCAGGTTCTCGTGCTCCTCAAGAAGTGCAGATTATAGTCAGAGACATTCAGCACCTCTGACCCACTAGGTTGTGAGACTGGTGGAGTTTTGAACAACTTTGAGAAACCTTGAGATCTTTGCATGTTTCACTTACATGAATGTAGGATATCTATTTTATATCTATTTACTTATTTATGTCTGTAGGATATCCATTTGCTATGGGAGCATCCCATAAGTGATATCTGAAATCTGAGCTAGCAGTGGTTAGTGCAGCCACTGCCTACTTTTCAGGCTGGTGTCAGGGTCTTCACTAAGGCTTTTGCCAGAGTAGTTGTTCATTTAAACAAGAAAGGTCAGTTTTGTTCTTACTATCCTCAGGAAGTGTTTGGCTCCAGGAATCTTAGAAAAATAGCTCCAACAAATTTTCCATGTTATTATGTATATGTTTAGTGGAACTTGGACCACTGGGGAAATGGTAAAAATTGCATTTAAAATTGACCTAGCATTTGGATCACTAGGATTGGAATTCCATCACTTGTTGACATTTATGGTAATGGTACCCAGTTCTCCACCTCCCAGAGCTTTGAGGTTAGATCTCTGGTCCAGAAGATTTCCTGATGTGACCTGTAGTATGGATGAGAATGAGTCCACCTCACACCTGAAATATGGGCCTCCTTTTGTTGTGCCCAGTGCCTTGTTCTGCTTTTAAGTTCAGCATGGGAGCAATTGCCGCTTCTTCTCAGAGTCTGATTTACCACTGCAATGGTAAAGTTATGTATTTCCTGTTCATATAAGGATACCATTTCATATATTTTTGCTCATCCCAAGTTGAAAGTGAAAGCTGTTCCTTTACTTGATGGAGGCAGACAGTCTGAGCCTCAATATTTTAGTGTCAAGAGGGAAGGAACTTTCTTACCAGGGGCTGGGACTTGCAGCCGATGGGAGAACCTGTCGGGCTTTCCTGTGTGCTGCTCAGTACTGCGGTGTGCGGCAGTGAGCAATGCAGCTGCAGTCTTCAAGTGCCAGCAAAATGTCTGCTGGTCATTCTGCTGCTGTGTGTCAAGAGGCCGGCAAATGTTGGGACTGGTGCATGCAACCTTGAATTCTCTTGGGAGCAAAGGGCTGGGAGAGCTGACTGGGCATAATGGGAGTTTCCACAAATGAGGCACAGCTAGAAGTAGGTCTCTTTTCAGCAGTTTCCGATATTACCTTTTTTTTCCCCCCCTTCTCATAAAACGTGATACCTTAGAGGAGGTTGACACATTTTTCTTTTATCTGGAGGACTTAAAAAAAACCCCAAAAAACAGAAACAAAACCCAAAACAAAACATGTAGCATTGTGGTAACAGTTAATATTATTCCCCTTCTCCCGATTCAGATTTGGTTCCAGGACCTCTGAAGTTTGCAGGTGAAGGATGTGGCATCGTTTTGTGTCTGCTGGCTGCACTGATTCAGGATGGATCCATTCTCTCAAAGGCTGGAAGTGATTTTTCCCATTCAGAAGAGCTTGTTTCTTTGCAATGAGAGAGATTTTCATTGGGTGTATTTACCTGGCAAGAACAAATAGGTTCTTGGTCTGCTATTGATAAGCTGAGCGTGCCCTACTCATGCTTAAGATGTCTTTCTGTCAAGTACTTAGGACTCACATGCCCACATAGTAATAGGTGCACAGGACTGGATTGTCCACCGAAGGAAAGTTTCCTGCTGCTGACCAGAGTTAGTCCTCAAAAACTCAATGAATCCGTTCCCTCTCTTCATTATTTTATTTTTTTTTTATTACAGGTTGAAAAGAATGCTTAGAGACTCGCATGCTCTGGCACATGTATGTTTCCTAGGAGTGGATCCTTGTCTTGCCTCTTTGTTAAAAAGTCTTAGTGTTGATGGCTTAGAATCATGCAAAGGCTGAGTGGGAATATGTTCTACCTGTTTAGAAAAGCTGTTTGTGGCTAGATCATCTTTTAATACCTTCTACTCAAAGCAATGTATATATATTCGAGATAACATTTTGTCAGGACAAAAAAAAGGGAATTATTTCTAAATACTGCAGAATTACTAAATAAAATGCTAGAATCCAAGCTTTTTGGACAATAAGGATGACTTTTTTTTTTTTAAAGGATCTTTTTATGATTGAATTTGGTATGTTATTTGATAAATACATTCAAAAATATTGACCACATGTAAAGGGAAGTATTTGAAGTGTGTTAAACCATGGACCATACTCATGATCAGTGATGGGGCACTCAAAGTGGGGCATAACTTGTTTTTTAAGCTAACCAAAATTACAGTAGATGCTGTCTGGACATCGCTTTTTGGAATCACTTAAATGTGTTTCCTTTTCTCAGTATAAATATTAAGCAGCCAGAACTGGGTTTTTTTAAAGTAAATACAATACACAGCAATTTTTTAAAATGTCCTTCAAAGTGAATTTTTCAAAACAGACATCGTGATTGTGAAATATAATACTTTTAACTTGATTTCCATTTGCTAAAATAAAGCGTCTAAATTGGAATGTATTTGTGATAATTTGTTAAGGGAATTGTAAAATTTGCTTCTCACTGTCAAAATGTTTACATAGTTTATAATGCCATATAATACTTCATAAACATTAATTTAAAATGTTTGGAGTAGTTGCATTTTACTGTTCATATAATTTTTATGTTGTATATTGAAATAGTCACTTTTGACCGACTTAATGGTATTAGGTTTTCACTATATTCTCTGAATTTCAAAGACACCAGGCGTGAAAACCGTCATGAAAACGAAGTAGAAAACTGCATGAATTTTTAAAAATCCCTGAGAAGCTGGAGCTCAGTGCCAGAATGGTATCTTATCAGCACACAGTATTTAACAGCTAGATATGATTCTTTCAGTCTTTTCCTGGTTTAAATCAGAAGCACTTTCCCTTAGTTTCTTTTAAGAACTGTTAATTGTGGCAAATTGCGATATACCAGTTTAGCCACGAGGAGGTGATCTAACACAAGCAAATAGTTAAAGCACCTCATTAAAGTTGCACTGAGTGGATTCTTTCCTGCAGGCCCGTTGGTCATAACTCATTATTTCGTATATCTGATTTATCCTGTCACAGACATGGAGAAAAAGGAGGAGGAAATAGAGCAGCTGAAAATGGATTGTGAACACTTCAAAGCCCGTCTGGAAACAGCCCAGACTGATTGCATGAGAGAGAAGAAGGTAGATTTGCTGTCAGAATGTTATCTGTACGCTTGAGTTTTAATAACAAAAGCAGTAATGATCAGTTTTTCATGTTCACGTCACAAAATACATACTCAGCCTGAAAAACAATCTGGATTTCTATTCATGTAGGCAGGTGGTGAGTAAATTTTTCCCCCTTGATATTTCTAGAGCAGAATGGTCACTATTATAACTAGGCAAAATATAATATGATGCAGTACCAAAAAGTATTCAGTGTGTACAAGTAGCAGTACCAGCTGACGATCAGTCTGCCGCTTAGGTGCATAATTCTTGCATAACTGCATAGATCTCTCTTGACTTCTGTACTGTGCAAGGTGCAGTTGTATGGGGTCGCATTATGGGCTTCTTGTCAGGGTTTGTTTTGGTCAGTGTAAATTTAAACATCATTAGCGTTTTGTTAACGTGTTGAAGTAAAACATTGGGTATTTGGGAAGATGGTGGTGTAGCTGGCATCAAAAGGTCCTTTGCAAAATCAGTTCTTTTGAATTTAAACTATAACATATTTTCAAAGAGGACAATAGAAGATGATGTAGGTAATGCAGTGTACAAAATGAAACTGGCCTCTCTGCTTGCTGTAAGCTGTGTGTTGTTTAGTTTTAATATTATTTATTGATGCACATATTGATCAAATTGCCATGTACGGCTGTGAGTCAAAGAACAATTACAAGGCTTCTTTTGCTCTCTCAATATGGTATTTAGTGATTATGAGAGGGGACATTCTTAACAATGAAGGAGTAGCAAAGACTGACTTCTCGGACTGTGGGTCTTCTGAGAAGCCATTGGGGTTCATATAGGATCACACAGACTAGCAGCTTAATTTCTGAGATGTGTGAGAATCAGTTTTGATTATTTGCTGTAAAAGTTCATTTCCTTGGAGCAAATAGCTATCTTCAGTAGTCAGCAGAAACTCACTTTGTTGGGGTTCTAGAGTTTGCATCTGCCAGCCTTGGGATTTCACAAAGACAGATGAATCTACAGAAATTATTTCATTTTTGAAAAGGAATAAATGAAGAGTTCAGCCAAGCAGTTTTAGGGCACATCTGTGTGGAGAAGTCAGTCTGGAATGAAGTTTGTTATGAGTGTAATGTATGATGGAATAGTTGTCTAGCTGGATATTCCTTACTTCAAAATAAGTATCTTCTGGGAGAGCTCTTACAGTTTGGCAATGGGTGCACAGCTAGTTTTGCTGTGCACCCACGTCTTTGGTTGTATAAGCATCCAGGATAAACCTTTCTAAGGTTTAATGTTGCTGCTTTAGATATTACTGAAGTGGATTCCATCTTTTATTCTTGTTAACATTACAAAATAAATGGCGGGTAGTTTAGATTTGTGATTTCTTTTGGATGAAAGTTTTACTTAAAGCATGGCTAGTTTACGAAGAGTGGTGTTGTCTTGGGGTTCCTGATAAAAGCTTTTCTCTTCATATCTTTACTCTTGTGCAGTATATACTGCTTGTGTAAATGGCTTCCGTTATATGCCACAGATATGTATTTGAGTGGATTGTATTTATGTACATCATGAAATCTTTTAGCTCTTCAGGATAAAAGAAGATGGTGTATGCATACATGTAATTTTTGTTCCTGTTAATCACTTTGCATAGTGTTTTTAATTTGGTTGCTGTTCTGCTATGGGCATCCTTGCATATAGTTTCTTAATTATTTTCTACATTTTTATATTCTGGAGGAAAAGGTAAAAATTCACTGAAACAAACATGAAATAAATGCATTTTCTAGTTGAGCAGTGTCCTTTTCTTAGGGGATCACAAATCAGCATTTTGCATTCTAAAATTTCTGTGCACTGCTGTATCACTGATTAGGGAATTGTGCTTTCTGAACCTGAGCAAAACTTGAAGTGCACATGTTATTCTTGGCTAATGTCTTCTTTGTCTGTCTTTTCATAGTTATGTACTTAGCCCTACTGTATTTTTGTGCCTTGACCCTTTCCTGAAGGTGGTGGTGTTGCATAGCACACTGATTGCGCTGTGATGTGAGCTCTCAGGAGTGTGGCTCCCAGCTAGGTTATTTGCTTTTGCAGGCTCCGTTTATTTTCCTGGCTCTTGAATGTACTATTTTCCTTGCTTCATATCTTTGTTCTGATGTTGCTTTTGATCTGTTAAAAATTCTGGCATTTCTTGTTCTGGCTTTGCATCCTTGTTGGGGGATCTAGCTTTGGTATTAGTTTTATGTCTTACTATTCAGTATTAGCATCCAAATGCATAATGCAAATAAAATGTATTAAAATATGTTTTTTCTTTAGACAAGGTCAGTGTGGAAAAGACAGACAGAAAGATGTCTGTGGACATTTTGTTGATACACATGGTGGCAGAAAAGCTTGATAGTTCTGGCAGTGAGTTATGTAAAAGATAAAATTTGGCTAACTTGCTTAAAAATGATCAAAGTATTAAGAAGCAAGAGACTTTTCCTGGGACTTCTTTGCTTAGGTAACCAGCAGCGTCAGTCTTTTGCATATATTAAACTATAAGGTGAAAGAGACTCCAGAGAGTAAATATGCACAGAAATCTGCTTGATAAATTTAATTTGAACTTTACAAATCCTACCTGTGTGTTCCATTAGCAGCATGATAAAGCAATGCAAATCAGGCTGTCCGGTATGATACAGGATTCTAGGTAGGAAATTGATGATGGTGTACAAGCAGCTTTGTACTTGTTGATATCATGTTATGTAGATTTACACGAGTTTGTTTCTATTCTTTCCAAACCCTTAACGCAAAACATTGAGGTGAACTCCCAAAATTACAAATACTTGGTTTAAAATCTTGATGGGAATACATCATTGAAAGTTTTGTTCTGTTTACTTGCTTTCAAAATTGACTAGAAAATATTCCTTCTCATTTCCCCATACTTCATCCTGATAGCTAAACAGACAGGGGAGGCTGGGCTGAGGGGGTTGCTTTCTGTGGTGAATTTGAAAATCCCATGCCCATAAAATGGGCAGAACAAGATCCTTCTGTTCTTCTGACATCGTGTGATCTGTGATTCTCTCTCTTAATACTTGAGTTAGCATCATTTTTCTTGACTGGCCTTTATCTTTCCCTGCAGCACTGTCTAATACCACCCCACTCAGAGTTAGCAGGGAGCCCCCACGCACCCTGAGAGACCACAGACTGTGTTATCCCTGCCTTGATCTCACTGTCTGCACTAGCTCTAAGCTGAGAAGCTGAGAAGTAACCCCTGTGGCATTTGGTAGGAAGCCAGGGAGACCTAGAATCATACCTAATCTCATGATACTCTTCTGGCCAACTTCCCATGTGATTGGAATAAAGTACTGCTGAATTGAAATTGTGTCCTGGTTTATATTGGATTGCTCTGTTCTCTCCTTATGCTTTGTAGCAAGGACCGCTGAGCAGCTCACTTAAGTGATGCATGCATGATAGTGCTTGGGCTTTCTTGGTATGAAAGGCCCTCCAAACTTCAAGTCTTGGGTCTATTTTTCAAGGGACTCTGTCTCACTTTGCCACTGCTGATCAGGAATGTGCCAAGAGAAGAAAAGTTGGAAGAGAACAGTATTTATGTTAGATGTTCAGCAACTCTACAACACTGGCTAAGGCAGAAGTATGTTTTGAAAAACAAAACAACCCTCCCTTCCTATAAGGTGTTTACAGTATCTTTTGTAAGGTGTCTGGAAAGGTTAACATCTGATGCTGAAATCCTCCCTCTCTTGAAGAGATGTGTAGCTATTTGCTTAGGAGGAGTAGACTCTCCTATCAAACTTCTCTAGGTGCCACTCAGTCTCAGTGGGTCATTTGGTCTGACCTTGTGGACAGACTTCTGGTTACTGTCAGCCTCCACAATGTGTTTACTACTTAGATATAGCTCAGCAGAGAAGGTAGGTATCTGCAACTGCTCTGAGTTTGCCACTGCAGGCACACCACCCCCCACCCCATTTTGTATATGGCCATGATGTTTCTTGTTTTGTCCCTTAGCCTAGAAACTTGTTTTGGCTGATATGAAGTACAACCAAAATTTCCTTATGCTATTTCAGGAGAAACTAGACCTCCGCCAGCAGCTGAATGAGGCCAAGCAGCAGCTCCTGCAGCAAGCAGAATATTGCACAGAAATGGGTGCAGCGGTGTGCACACTGTTGTGGGGTGTATCTAGCAATGAGGAAGCTGTTAAAACCATTCTAGGAGGAGTAAGTATGCCAGGTGAATACTTATTGGTGGTAATGCTGTTAGGTCTTTAAAACAAGGACCTTCCTCTGTAACACATTTTAAGGATATATTTCAGAAACTAATAGGACAGCAAAAATATTTTCTGAATTGTACATTCTTTGGGACCCATCCATTCTCATTTAAGAAGTGTTGGAACTATGAAGTGTTAAGAGGTAGGCTGGGAATAAATGTAGTAATTAATTCTTGTGTTACCAAAGAAGGATTATCTGTTTTCCACCACACACAGTTAAACTGGAAGCAAGGCTGCAGCTAGCACACTGTAAATGTCTTTACAAGCTAACAGAAGAAAAATAATTCTTGGGCACATGCAGCGGTTCCCATGCCTGTAGAGAGCTTCACAGAACTATTCTCATGGAAAGAAGACAGATCCATCAGTTCTCAACTTCTTTGGATCTTTGTGCTGCCTTAATACTTGCATGACTCTTGGAAATTTGGAGAGCCTAGCTGCTAGTGAATCTTATTAGATCTTCGGTGTTAAATGTGAACAGGTAGTTTATTTGAAAAAAAAAACCCAAAAACAAAACAACCCCCCAAACCCCAAATCAGTAGTTGATGACAGTAGTAATATTACAACTAACATGGTTTCTCTGCCAAGTGCAGCTGAATTAGGAGGGATCAGAGGAACAGGCCTGATTAAAAAATACGATTTTCAGTCTCGTCACAGCCAACGTAAGAAGGAATTGTATTTAATCTGAGTGAACTGATGCCACAGTTTCTTCTGGCTTGATTTTTCAGCAGCATGAACAGCTGAGTGAATAGGATTAGTTAATTATAGTAAGTGGTGAACTAGTGTGTTTATAAGAAGTTTTCCAGTTTGGGTGCACCAAAACACAATTATAACTTTATATTGAATATTAGAAAGCTGTACACGCTTTGATGATAAATTCTGATGATTCAAGATCCAAGCAGCAGCAGTTACTAAGGAAAAAGTCTGTACAAACACTGTATAAAGCAGTTAAGAGAAAAAAGGCAGGTGGGTACGACAGAGCCCCCACATAGCAACAAAAATAGTATAAAATTACATGCCATATTTTCAGAACAGTTTAAAACTGTAAGAATTGACAATATTTAGTGACTAGCTGTGATTTGGCTTGTGAAACAGTATTGAAATGCTATGTTTCCCACAAAAAAACACTAGCAGTGATGAAAATGACTATTTCTACAAGGTGAGAGTAAAATCAGTAGAAGCCTTGTTGAAAGCAGTCTTATGTATCAAAATTAAGTAGAATTAGGTAAACCCAAAACTGTTACCTGATGATTTGTATAAGGGTAAAAAGCCCAACTGTAAAGATGCAATACTTTTGTTTCTGTGTTTGTTTGCAATGCAAAATATTAATGCCCAGGAATCGTTACAGCCCATTCAACTGATATACTTCTGGTGAAGGTCATAGCAACATTTCTGGGCATCATTTTCTTGTGATGGTGCACATAACATGGTAAGAAGTGTGCTTGGGTTTGCAACAAGCACTAGGAAGAACGTAAACGGGTTGTATAGCATTGCATCAACCACAGGTTACAACTTGGCAATGAGTCAGGTTATTGAAAGATAATGGAGATTTCTCATATAAAGTTTTTGGTTTGAGTTATTTTAGACAAGTTGTACAGCTTACAACATCTTCCTCCCTCCCCTGAGAAGATGTTGTGAACTGCAGAAATGTATAACAACATCAAGAATGCTTTGAAACCATTGCTCATATTTAAGCATGTGGGGAGGGTGGTATTAATTCAAAATCATTTCATGCCTTAGAGAACAATGCTCCAGCTTTTTCCAGTCTTTGCACAGATACGGAAGTAGGTCTTCCGTACCGTTCTGCAGTACATATTGACTGAAATGATGTTTGGGACCAATATACCATTTGTGTCCATATGGGTTGGGAAAGTCAAAACGTGAGCAGCAAATTTGAAATGTAACATGAGTAGTTTTCAAGCAGTGAGGGAGAGATGTCTGCTGTTTCTACCCATGTATAGCGTTCCTAGAGAGAACCTGAAGAAACATCCAGAGAAGCAGCATGACCGAGAGTGTTCAAGGATGCCTATCTGCATGTGCTAAAAAGGAAGTAAATTAATTGCTGTGAGATCATGGTAGATGTCTTTCAAAAATCTTCAGCCAGATATCCACATGACAGGGCTCTTGCGTGGAAACACAAACCAAAGGTTTGATTTCAGAACAGCATCAAAGCTTGCTTCAACTGGAGAAATTTTGGATCCTACTTCAGTTATCTGATGAACTGATGTTTTCGTGCAGGAGTTACTTGGACAGCAGAGGTTTCATTGCACCATTTGAGCTCAAGCATCTTAATGGCTGCTCTCAGAACTCTCCTTATCTCAGTGTCTGTGGGTGAGACATTCTTCAGTCCCATGAAAATACTGTCAAGCTAATAAGAGACTGCACAGAGTAGATAATGCTTGCTATTTATAAATTGGTCTCTGCGGCTCCTCGGACCTCACTGCTAGTTAATTAATGGCTATTTGGGAAAAAGGTTAAGCAGAGGGGACAACAGCAACACCTCAGGAGACTGGCAAACAGATTTTGCTTGTTTTCTGTGCAACATATCAGCTACTTGGTTTGCTTAGTACTCTGTTTGTCTGTGATTACATATTTTCGTAATAGTTTATACTCGTCTGCTGTAGTAGGCTCTTTTCATTTTCTCTCATGCCCTCTGCTCCTTGAACTATAGTCACTGCTTATGTTAAAATTGCCATCTTTGAAGTGTGGTGTCCCTATAAGTATAAAAAGTACATCCAGCACATGTGGAAGTGTACTTCTTATCATTTTCTTTCCCCACAATCCCTTCATTCCTGCTTTTCTGGAGCCACAATATAATTTGTGAAGATACTGAGTATTGGCTGCCCCCTTTTATGATGCGTTGCTGGAGTCACGCCACAGGAACTGTGTAACTTTGATGTGGTGAATGTGCGCCAGTGGAGGAATAAAGGCTACCAGTAGCTTTGTACATATTGCGAAAGCAGTAGTTCTGACAAAATATTAAAATTTTGAGTCACTTTGCAAAATGAATAAAAGTTCAGGCATTTCTTGGGCTGTCCCATTGGGTCACTGCCAGGAATGACTAAAAGTTTCATCTGTTTCATGAAACAGCTGGCAAAATTATTAAAGACACTGAGCAACCTGGCATTATGGGGTCTCTGCTACACTGTTTTTGTTACAAAACCCAGCATCCTCTGTGTGAAATCGTGTTTCAGCAATGTTTTACAGGTCAGAATTAGTAATAAATAGTTCTCTCAGTCCTTATTTGTAGGCTCTGTGTGCACCTCTGACCAGGCTCTTTGCCTTGCCCTGAGCTTTGTACCAGGTGGCTGCTTCCTCAACCAAGATACCCCAGAGTGGAGCAGTGTTCCAGCTGAGGGGAAAAGACTGCATAACATAATTACAGATTGTACTCCTGTTTTTATGCTCTGGTGTGATGATCGTCTTTCTCATGTGACATTTCTGACTTAAATTCAACCAGTGACCCAGAAGAGACCTCCATTTCTTTTTCTAAAGGATGTCTACCTATCCTCTTCTGTATTCTGTGTTGAGCAATTAATGAATCATGTTAGGATCCAATCAAATTCTGCTTCTTTTCTGGGTATTTCATAGGTTTTCTTAGGAAATTCATATCAAATCACTACATCAGGTTGTTCTCTAGTCTTCAGCTGGATAGGGTCTTGACAAAAGCTGCTGTAGTAGCCCAGTAAATGTGAAATACCTGGTGCAGCTATTGCAAAGTAAAGATAATAGCCTCCCTTTTGAAAATGAGTATTTAATTCTGTATTATTCTGGGTTTAGGAGGTAAATACACAATGATTTAGTTTTATAAATAAATGTAGCATTGGGTAATTTCCCATTTTCTTCTGAGGTAATGGATTCAAAGATTAGGAGATCAAACATGTCAGTGCGTACTTGCTATTTCCTGTAGTTTTTTTAAGTAACTGGATGTTTTAGTAATTTTGAAGATTGTCCAGTTTTACTATAGCATCTAATAATCATAGTTGCTGTGGTGTGTATAATCTTTTTTTCTCCTCTGTGCTTGCAGAGTAAAGCAGTAAAGTTTTTCACAATCACTGCACAGACCATGGAGAGCTTTGTGAAGTCATTAAGTGAAGACATGAAACAGCAGGATTTGGATTCTGATGAAAATCAGTTTGTATTAGCTTTGGCAGGGATTGTAACAAGTAAGTTAATCTTATCTTTCAGAATAGCATTCCACACGTACTGGGAACTTCTATATTGCCTTTTGTGCTGCAGCTTTTCAAAAAGTCAGGTGTTTAGTTGGTGTTGGTATCTTGGGTGACTTCCTAGTTTTTTTAAGTTCTAGCATATTTTGTCATTGGCACTTCTACGAGGCATTGTGCTCTCTGTGACACAGTTAAGGGTTAGACCAGTAAGAGCCATTGAGTTCTGAATTCCCTAACACATCCATTCAGTCTGAAGTAAAATACTAGTCTTGTATGCTCACCTTAGTTTGTAAGTATCTATCAATTTACTTTCTGAATTGCCAATAATGCTAATGTCAAAACATACGAATCACAGATGATTCAAGTAGATCAGCCCTGTCTTAAGGTATGTGCTCAGCATTTTGAGACTGCTTAAGAATTTTGTTGTTGTCAGATGGACCACACCTTTACTGTCCTGAGTCCATAGTGCTAAGAGAAACAAAACCTGACTTCCATACTAATTGTTTCTTTTTAGGGTTAGAAAATAAGTAGAAAGACACAGATCTATCTTAGTACAGCTGCCCTTGACTTGGAAGGATGTGAGAAATGGGGCTGATACGTAATCTGCATTTTTGTGAAACTCTGAAACTGTTAAAGTAACACAATGCAACATAGATAAAACAGTGGGTAGTTATACAAAGAAGTGACTCTTACATTACCAGCTTTTTTGCATGTGTGGTTTTAGATGTTGTGTTGCCATTAAAGATTGTAATAAAAAGTATGTGATGCATTATGCCACTGTACCAAGATGGAATCCAGTTATGTCCAATTGCTTCATTAAATTAAAAACAAACAAACAAAACCCCCCCCAGAAACCAACAAAAACCCAGAAAGAGAATAGCCGAAGTAAAGAAAATGTTTAAAGGCTGGAGGTTGGGAGGTATTGGGGTTCTGCTTGAGGTGGAATCAGGATGATGGAACAAAGTCTTCAGTAAAGCTGATAAAAAATTTTGCCAGTGAATTACCAAGATTTCTTTCTGTTTCTGTAATTTGGACTGCTGAAACTCAAATGTGATAAAGGACACAGTCAGATGAACAATGTAGAAGGTACCAGTTTAATCCTCCGTAGTTACACTTGAAAGTGGCATTAAAAGAACACTGAGCAACTGATCATGAAGTGCTAAGTATTTGGAAGTTAGAAAACACCAGAAGTTCTTAGTGCAGTCTTAACACAGCCAGTGTGCACAAAAACTGTGGTAACAGTCTTTAATTATATACTGTATCCATAGTACCTCTGCTTATTATGAAGTCAAAAAAGTCATCATGATGTATGTGCATAGGAGAGGGAACCTGAAACTGCATGAAGGTAGAACAACTGTATCATACAGCAGATCGCTAACGTGCCCTGAATTGGATTCCAGGGAACCAGGTTCTGTCACTAATTAGGTACACTGTGCTTCACACGTTTGGAGGCTTGGCCTGTTGCACTGTACAAAAAAGCTTGGATTGCTGGAAGATTCCTGTTGCACATAAGGATGCCCTAAAGTATGGGGCAAGCGTAAGGGAAAACACTAAAGGGAAGTTTGCTGTGGAGCAGTAGTCTTTGGAAATACTTTTGCCTTTTGGTTTGCATGCATAGTGCAGCACTTGCAGAGAGGTAGCAAAAGAACTTTTGAGTAGATAGATGTCCATGAGAGTTTTGATTGTGTAATGTGCCAGGTATACTGGATTGAGTGATTGTAAAACAACCTGCAATCATATTTTTTTAAAGTGGGACCTTATACAATGCTCAGCTTTACATCAGTTCCATATTATTTGTGGATGAATCCAACATTTTGTTTCATAAATCATTGTGTCACTATTGGGATACTGGCCACTTTGAATAAATATTTTAATTACCAAAAAGTAGAATTATGCAGGAGTTTGAGCAGTATAATTTGCTGCTTTGGTATTTTTTATGTAGATTAATATAGTTTGAAGTTTGTATAGATGCCATAGTTTATTCTTCACAGCTGACATAACTTTTTAGTGGTCCTGATAATTAGCATAAAGTTTTGTTTGAAACATGATTTTTATAGTGATGGTTTGTGTTCTCTCACAGATGTGGCTGCGCTGGCATGTGGCCGTGAGTTCTTGGTTAGTTCAAGTCGTGAATTACTGGACACAATGATGCACCTCCTGGGAAGCATGAAGCCAGGACTCTGTACCAAATTTAAAGTGTATGATGACTTTTTTTTCCCCTTTCAAATGAAATGTATTATCTTGCAGCGTAGGTCACAGTGATGACAGTAGTTTTCTCACTCTCCCATTATTTCCTTTCCTCTAGGGGAAATGTAATTTTTGGAAACTCTTTTCACGGTAGCATTCCTTGCAGATGTACCAGGCTTGGCTACAAGGCTAGCTTCATCCAAGTTTTGTCTCTTCAGAAGCCTCTTAAGCACAATAACATTGTAGAGATGAGCAGGGATACACTCTTCTACCTTAAGAGGGGCTCATGAGTTGAGGATCGGATAAGGAAAGCGTGAGGTCAGGTTTTAAAACAGAGAGGATGTGGGAAACGTGGACTTAAATTTTTTCCTTTCTAATATGAAGACTGTAAAATGCTACATCTGCTTAGTGAAAAAAGTGAGTTATGTGTCTGCTAAGAGCAAAAATTAAATTAATGCTACTTAAGAGCCAGAAGCACCATACAATTACGTTTGTAAAAGGTAATGCCTATAAAGGGACCTTGTGATACAGCATTGTAAAGAATAGGATCTGTTACACAGTTGAGATGCTGGAAAAGTTGGAGAGATGAAATAAGCTATTGTCTTTGCCTTTTTCTGAGAGCTGTTACAAGTTGAGGATGTATGGCCTTGACTGAGCAAATTACTGTGGCTTAAGGAGAACTTGTTCATTGGCTAAGATGTGGGCACTTGCCCTCTACATCTGGTTAATTTGTTCATAAAGATGTCTTAAGCCAGTGTGGTGGGTTTTTTTCATAAATGGGATACACACACAAAGAATTCATACCCAAGCCAGCTGTCACAGCTCAGCTGACAAACAGCAAACCTGTCAGCCACAGTAATTTGACTTCATCCATGCAGGCATGAAATCAGGCTCAGTCCTAACTTCGGATAGGTTTATCTTGCCTAACTTCAGCTATCAGAAAGCTAGATGTCAAGTATCTGCTAACTGTCTGGGCTCCTTCCCACAGTCAGTGGAAGGAGATGGTGCTGTCAGATGATCACTCAGTCAGCCAGTGTTAGGGGGAATGAGTTGCCCTTTGAGATGTTTGCCTTTCCCTGTTGAGTAGTGAGGGGGAAGCTGAGTAGCCTGTGCTGTAAGTAGTGGCTAGATACTCTGATGTTAGTCATTTACTGTTTCCCAAGTGTTGGGCTTGAAGGTCAGAACTCAAAACAGGGTAGTCAGCTCTTGCAACAGTGGTTTGTTGTTTTGTTTGTTTTTTTTTTTCTAAAGCCCAGCTGAAAGATTTGTATGAGAATCTCAACTTAAGAAAGAAAAAGTAATTTGTGCCTTCATGTATATAAAAAAAAAAAAAAGAGGACCTGTTTCAAAATCTGTACAGAAAAAATTAAAAAGAACTTTATTTGGAGAGCAGGAAGGAAAGTGTTCCTAAACATGTGCGCACGTGCACGCACACACTCTGAATTTCAAGTGAATGTGTGTCTGTGGGGCCAGATAAATTACTTTTGATCATTTCAGATTGTATTAATGTAATTGGATTTGAGGGCCTTCCTTTTGAATTGATGTTTTGGATGGTATTTTAATTACCTTTCAAAATCTGCCTGCTTTGCAGAAGAATTACACATGGTGATATAAACTTGGCTGCCATACAGCAATATTGATAAAATATATGTAAAACAATCCCATGAAGTGGCTAGGGATTCAACAGGGGCCAGCCTCTGAGGCTAACAAATTGAGTGAAGCTTAAAAAAGAGGTTGCACAAGCTTTTTGATAAGTGAGAAACATTAAGCATATGTTAACAATAGTTTGAATTCAGTGCAGTCATAATGTTTTCTGATGTTCCACAGAGCCAACAATTTTTTTTCTTACTATGAACTTACCATTTGATTTTAAAAAATGCTATTGTGACATTAGAGCAAATGCCAGAAAGGAGATTTCTTCATGGCCTTGTCATGGAATGACAGTTCCTAATTTGCTCAAACGTGTCAGTGCAGAATGTTTTCCCTGTGTTTGTCTCATGTCTGTGATCAGATTCCTTTTTGTCTGTGAGATCCCTATGTGTCTTGTCACTGTTCTTGAAACCCTCTTTCCTGTGCTTTTTGGGGATTTTCCACTCTTCCAGCCCAGCAAAGGGTTTTAGGGGTTGGTTTTTAAATTGTTAAATCCTGTATGTAAGGTTTTTTAGCTGCTTGTTAATCTTCAGCAATCTAAGCAGATGTGGCAGAACTCCTTTTCTGCCTACTGTAAGGAACATAAGGTACTACAAAATGAAAGGCAATTGTGAGACAAGGATATGATAGTTAACATAAATTGTAGTGATAAGTTATGTATAGACAGACTCTGGAGTCATCATAAATAATGTTTATTCACACACTGATACACATACACACAGGCACATTTTTTGTACATTATTTTGGAAATGCAGTATGTTTTTGTCAAAATATCACCATGGTATTACTTGGAATGACATCAACAATTTAAAATTTAATCAGTTAAAGTAAAAATTTGGCTTATTATTTTCAAGAATATGTTTGTCCTTTGCTCAGTTTTGAGGTTTTACAATTCTTTTCTAGCTTTTATTTTCAAAAATATTTTTCTTTACTGTGTGACAAATTAGGCGAAACTGTGAGTCTAATTCTATACACAGTAGTGTCAAACGAAGTAAGCTGATAGAGAGGAATTCTCTTTCCTCTTCTACTAGTCCTGTGTTTTACTTGTGCCAATATATAAATGAAATATTTGCAGGGAAAAACTGTCATTTATTTCAGCACTGCTACAATATCCACTGTAGTCCATGCGTATCTAATAAATATATCCAAGGCATCTATGAGTGCTGGGAATAAAATCTCATGAGTGTCTTTGCTTTTCTGAAGTAGCACTGGTGTGAAAGACTTCAGGTTTTCTTCTCATTAGTATAGGGATTGTTCAACGTTTGTAATTGTTGATATTTACACAACTGTTCACGGCTATAGTTAAGTTGTTAGGAATATTCAACTCTGTTTATGTAGTAGTTGAAAGTAGCTGGTAAAAATAAGTACTTTAATACATATAAGTACATTTTATGTACTAATCCGATGTATTAAGCAGACAAGAAGAGGCCTTAGCTGTGCTTTCAGTTCTAGATTTTCAAGAAAGCATTGACAGATACAGTAGTACAAGATGTTAATTAAATTTGGCTTGTCTAAATAGGGAGACTATGAAGTGCATAATTAAAGCCCTTCACATTAAAAAACAAACAAACAAACAAAAAAAACAAAAAAAAACACTCAGAAAGTATTATTTATCCATTAATTATTAACTGTTAAGGTTTACTTCAATAATCATTTTTCCAATAATTATCAAAATACTTATTAGCATGTACAAGTACTAGAGGTGAAGGTGGTATAAAGGGCCTGGAAATGCTTCTATGTTGTGCTTAGGTGAGTGTGTTTAATTAGTAATAATATGTGACTACATTGGCTTGTGGGGTGGGTTATGTCTTCTGACACTCCAAAACCATAGCACTTCCCTGGATCACCACCACCACTCCCTTTTGTCTGCACAAAACAAACAAGTGAAATAAAATCTTTTTGCATCACTTTATTTCTAACTGCAAATGTCCAACAGATTAAGGTTGAAAGACATTGTCAAGAAATGTTAACACTTTCCCTTATAAGATACTGTTTTACTGATCGTTTTCATTCTGGTTGATTATAGGTAATTATGGCTGTGCTCCTTTGTCAGGGCTTGGGTTCTGGAAGCCAAGTAAGAGCTGCAGAGAATGTATGAAAAGAAGCGTATGGTCTTTACAAGCTGCAATTTCAATTCCACAGCACCCCTCACTGCTTGTCACTGGCCACTGATGCAGTAGATTTAATAATCTACTGTTTACAAGCCTAGGTGATCAAACTCAGACTGGTACGGCACATATGTTATACCTATTACAACTCAGGTCAGCCTGCAATGAGTTAATTTCTTTCCTGCTTTCTGAAGGTACGCATGGAGAGTGTCTGTAAGTCTGTTGGTAGCATAGTTGCTTAAGCCGTGAGAACTCCTTTGACAACAGGATGTGAGGTGTGAAGTCCATGTGGAATAGCGTTATCTCTTTTGTTTGGAAATGCTGTCAGTGCAATGACACGCAGGTTCATTGGAGTTGTGAGAGATAGCATCAGCCAGGCTGGTCCCAGAGCAGAGGGAGAACATTCCCCCTCGTTTGTGTTTCCCTGTAATTGTTTTGTATGTAACCTGGCACCCAACTGTGAGTGGGTATAATGACATGTTCCACAAATGTTACAGGAGCCCTGCTTATTCATCTTCCCTTTCATTGTCCAGAAGATTGACTTGCGTGTTAGCATCTTTGAAAAGAACTAATAGCATCCATCATAGCACATCATAAAGTGCACTAATGCCCTGTCCTCCCAGCTAATCCACAGCTGTAAAGATGATCTGCATTAGAGGCAGGACAGGAGAATATCACTGTGAAAGAATTTGTAAGACAACTTGTGACTCCAGAATACAGCTCTTTTTTTCAGGAACATTAGGGGCCCCTTGGCTCCAAGTTCATAGTACAGCAGTGATCTGATTCTGAAAGAGGCTGAGCATTAGTTTGTCTTGTTAATGTCAGTGGTGATCTTTTTCTGGATGCATTCTGCTTTTGAGTATCTGGTCCCATTCCTACTAGAACTTAGAGGGAAACTGAAATAATTTGCATTAAGCCCACTTAGACTGCTTAGCTGCAAAAGGTTTTATCCACCAAAACCATAAAAAGCTTGTATTAGCAATGTGGAAGACAGCATAACAACATCAACATCAAATGTTTGAAGGCAGAATTTAGTTCTGTGGAAACTGTAGAAGATTTAATCCCAGTGAAATGTTCTGCATTGTGAGTACTAGCGGTTGTTCAGATAACTTTGGAAAGGGAGACTCATTTTGATCTCCAAGTTGCCATACTTGTCTGACAGTTGAAAGCAGCTAAAAGTAATTTTTGACCTAGGCATTTTATCTGCATAAAGAGCAGGGCTGCCATTTCTGCATGCAGCTTGCTGTACCTTGCAGCGTTACTTCAGTTCTGTCATGACTAAGGCTGGGGGGATACCTGTAGTCAAACCCACTTTCCCTGATGGGTATTAGATTTTGCAAGTTACTGATCATACTGAAGCTTTTCATGTTTGCAGTAACTTCAGTGTGAGCTGCTGCAGGAGAAGCCAGTGGGACCAACAGGGTAGAGTAGGCCCTTAAAATGCAGAGCCTTCTCCAGCTTACCCCATTTTCTCTCTGTAGAAATGTTGAGACTTTGGTTTAATTTATAACCTGTTATATATGCAGCCCCAAAATGACTAATGAACTTCCTATTTTAGAAGGCTGATAAATTAGGAAGTCCTGGTTTTGGAAGCTTTGGAAAACATGGCTGAAATGAACATATACTTACTATGTGTATTTTTAATTTGTCATTTACACACAGACATGCAAGGGACAGTCTTGGTTTCAGTTTGTCAGAGATGTCATCTTAGGCTTTTTTCAATGCTAAATTGAGGAAATGTTTTCTAGATGCCATGCCGTAGACAGGTTGTGGGTTCTGTCCTCTGTCAACATCAGTGGACATAATAAAAGACCAAAAGAAATCACCTTTTGGGGGAAAAAAAAAAAAAAAGGCTGTGAGTGGGCTCATATGTTATTTTGAAACAGTTTTGAACATGTACGGGTGAGAGTACCGTTTGGCCTGTGTTACCTTGGTGTTGATCTGCACTAGGACAAGAACACAGTTCACAGCCAAATTGGATACCAGTGTTACTGACTTGAAAAAAAAAATATTTCCACTTGCACATTGAACATAATCAATCTGGATTTCTGCAGGAAGGGTAAATAGTAAAGTCCATGATGACATTTTAAGAGGCAAGCAGTCTTCTCACAGCAGGGTCTCACTTGATGTCCTAGATCATATGGCCCTGCCTGACTGTGAGGGGCTGGAGAGTAGGCATAACAAGCTAGTTCTCTGCCTTGCACCCATAACAAAAGGGACGAGTCTAGCTTAGGAGGGAGTGTGTGAAGCTGAGCTGGGGCTACTAATACCTTCTTTTTCCTCTCCTGGCCTGTCCCGTTCTTCCAAATGCCTCAGCAGGCATAATAAGTTCCCCTGCCAGCAGAGAGAGACTACACTGACATTTGCTGTACACTGGCTATAAACTGCATCTGTTCCCATTGGCAGGAGGAACAGGGAGATGGTCGAAGGAGGATGGCATAAGCTCTGTGTCTGTGTTGCAGCTGACTGGAGGGTCAGTGAAAGGCTGATGTTGCACAACTGATGGAGCAGAGACTTCCTTTGATGTTTTGAGTACTCAGTATATAGTCTTGCTTTCTGTGTTTCCTAGTGGTCCTTTCATTTGTTAAGGCAAACAGCTTGAGATGATCATCTGCCCAGTGGGGATTGTCACCACGAAAACTCTATTCTATAGATTGTGTGGTCATGTAAAGCCAAATCCTGATTTTGCACATCTCACTTGATGAATCTCATTAAATTTGATGAGACTTTCTTACTCTCACATGGGATATTTTTCTATGTGTTTGAAACAGATGATTTAACAGTAGAAAAAAGCACAACATTGCTTATACAATAATTTGAGACTTGTCTGTTTTATCAAAATATAAATTACTAGAGTAGGTTTCTGCATCAGCACATGCTTGGCATAAATAGCAAAAGATGCCAAGACATGCAGAGAAATCAAAGGTCGTCATATCTTTTTTTTCTTTCAATTCTAGGCTAATGTTAATGTCACTTTACAATGTGAGTATCAACTTGAAAGGCTTGAAGTACATCAGTGAAAGTCCAGGTTTTATTCCTTTGCTTTGGTGGCTATTGAATGGTAAGTTGCTCTAAGAACCTTCTAAATTGTGACTTTGGGGACTGTAAATTGCCAATAGGTGTTGCAAATAACAGAACAGAAATTCATATCTAACCTGATTATGTATAGCTTTTGTCAGATTAAAAGTAAGCAAAAAGGGCAAATATGTAGAAGGAGAAGATATGCATTTCCCACAGCATTTTTTGAACTATATGTAATATTCCATTAATACAAAATTTATGGATAGTAGAATTAAAAATAGGGAATGGAGAGATCTGATGAAGTAGATTAAAAAAAGCCACCTGTATTTTCACATACCAACTTTAAAATACAACCTGAGGGGAAACTATGCATCAGATCACTACCATTTAACAAAAGAAAATGTAACTGTGTTCTGACACATTTTGGGGAAGGAAACCAACCTCTATAACTACACTTACTATGACAAAAGAGTGACCCTTTCTACGGCTGAAGCTCTAATAGGATTTGTGCTTGCAGAGCTTGAGTATTATTCCCAGCTTTGCCTTTGGCCAGTGAAGGACTTCAGGGATGTCAAGGACTTCTGTTGCCACTGTCAGGTACACGAGTGACATCAAGGCTCTGCTCTTCTGGAGGCTTCAAATCCCTGCGTAGGAGCCAGCAGAGATTGACGTTGCCAGTGTGCGTTGGTCTTGGCTGGCAGCTGTGTGCACGGCTTGTAAGGGACAGTGAGGACAGCAGCAAGGACAGAGCCATGACACTGTCCTGCCTATGAACTGCTCCGGAGTTGCTCTGTCTTGGCTTTCTCAAGTTTTTGTGGCTTGTCCATGAGAAGATTTTGGTGTGCAGTTCATAGGAATGGGGACGTTAGTAACCTTAGCACTCTGTGGTACTATGCAAAACCCTGTTGTAATATAACTAGTAAATACTAACAGCAACTGAAGTGAGAGAGGTTTCACCTGCTTTTTCAAGGAATTAATTTCATATTGAAGTTTTGGAAAAGCTTTGATTTAGGCTTGCAAACTGGAAGCGACTTGAACTGCTTACAGTTCCCTCAACTGTTTTACAGAAAATGTAGGGACTTGTGCTTTTCATCAAATAATTTACTACTTTGCAATGTCATTGTCTTGCTCTTCTGAGATATCAGAAAATTAAGTAATCCTTGTAAGACTATTGGAAAACACCCATTTTATAGTTTTTTTTAATATAGTTTGAGAAAAATTATACTCTGAGAGCTCTGAATATGTGGTCCTTTGTTCTGCTGTGCTTAGAAATTTAACATATGTTAGTCCAGATTTTCCTTTTACTTTATGTTTGGCTAGTATATACATAAGCTGTTGTTCTAGAAACAAAAACCAAAACACCCTCAAAAACCCAGTCTGAGCTCCCAAATGTGCCCCTCTAAATGTTGTGACAAAACAAAGCAGCTAGTTGTTTGATGCAGTCTATTATTTGAAGAAGGCTCCTAGGTCAAATAAGTGGATGAAATGTGACACAGTTATAATTCGTTTGCATCTGCTAAAGGAAATAAGAAATCAAAAGGCTACTCTGCATTTTGAAAGTGTTAATTGTGTATGGCTGGGTTGTAGAAGGAAGGACGGGCATGGCTAATTCCTTTACTTTTTGATAATAAAGTTCTCCAGTTACAGTAAAGGAGGCAGATTCTCAGATAAACCACATTTGCTGGTTCAGATTTCTGACTTCAGAGGAAGTCTGCTTATTGTCAAGGGGGATGGCTGTCTAGTTTGTATATCAGATGAGAGGGTCAGATCCAAGACCCTATCTTGTTCCCATCGTTTTGTATGACATTGCTGTATTTTTCTCTAAATTTATTCTGTTTCTAAGATTTCAACTTGGAAAACTCAGTAACTTCCTCCCACACTTGCTCCTCTCCTGTTTCTGTGGCCAGCATCTTCAGCTTCTCCTCGCCATGATTCAGCTTATAAACACCTGGAGCTGCTATAGCATAAGGTCTTACAGTTTTTTCCATGCAAGAGAGTAGAGCACTCACTACACTCTGCTGGCAGGGCATCCTGTATATGCTGCCTTCCTCCAGGAAGCTTTTTCAAAGAGTGTTTTGATTAAGGCTTATGAGATGATTCAGCTTTCCTCAGTTCTGTAAGCTTTTATCAGCATTCCCACTAAGAGGGGCCCCAGAAATTATTCTCTGACTTTTTATTTTCTACATTTTGAGAGAATCATCCTGTTGGCTTTTCCATCGTCAACCTACAAGTGTCTGTGACCTCAGACTATATACATCAAGGCCATTTTTTTCCCACTAGCTTGTACACAGCTGGGCCCAGGTGGCCAAGAAGGCCAATGGCATCCTGGCTTATGTCAGCAATATCGTGGCCAGCAGGGACAGGGAAGGGATCTGACCCCTGTCCTCAGCACTAGTGAGGCCGCCCCTCGATTCCTGTGTTCAGTTTTGGGCCCCTCACTACAAAAAGGACATTGAATGACGAGCGTGTCCAGAGAAGGGCAACGAAGCTGGTGCAGGGTCTGGAGCATATGTTGTATGAGGAGCAGCTGAGGGAACTAGGGGTGTTTAGTCTGGAGAAGAGGAGGCTGAGGGGAGACCTCATCGCCCTCTACAGCTACCTGAAAGGAGGTTGCAGAGAGCTGGGGATGAGCCTCTTTAACCAAGTAATAAGCAATAAAGGTAATGGCCTCAAGTTGTGCCAGGGAAGGTTTAGACTAGATGTCAGGAAGCATTTCTTTCCAGAAGGGGTTGTTAGGCATTGGAATGTGCTGCCCAGGGAGGTGGTGGAGTCCCCATCCCTGGAGGTGTTTAAGAGTCGGGTTGATATAGTGCTGAGGGATGTGGTGTAGTTGGGAACTGTCAGTGCTAGGTTAACGGTTGGACTAGGTGATCTTCAAGGTCCTTTCCAACCTAGATGATTCTGTGAAATTCCTCCTCTGAATTCTCAGTCTCTGCCCAGTCTTCTTGTCTCATGAAGAATGTCCTCCTGTTAAGTGTATCTGAAGCAAGGAGGGTTTTGCTTCAGATTGTCTAGCAGGCTTTTTGAGGAGACAGAAATATGCCTTGACATTGAATACATGGATGGTAAGAGAAAGTAGGAAAAATCTAATTAAGATTTCTAGTGGAGTGAAAATGTTAACAGCAAACTGGGTTTGTCTGTCCTACTGCCTTTCAAAAATTTGGATGAGCCAGTATGACTTCACACTCGCTAACAAGAATTCTTAATAGCTCTTTCTGCTGGAGGCTATACTGATACTAGGAGAAAAAAAAACATTTGACACAGTTTTTGAAGGTAATGCGATCTCTGTAGTTTTAGCACTTTGAGATGGGATATTTTTTTCTTTTTCCTGCCTTTTTAAATACTATCTAAAAGATGGGCACCCTTTAACAAACAGCATTGATCACTGAAGAACATGATAGCTTATGTAGCTGTTGTATTCTTGCGTGGGTATCAGCTATGCCTACCTATACCTTCCCAGCCTGGTGTCAGAATAAAACATGTGAATGATGAGTCAGATTTCTGGCTGTGGAGCAGCTTGTGGGATCAGTGGAGGTCTCTTCTTGTGGAGCACCATTTGTCTGCAGAGCAGCTGTTCCCATCTTGGAGAAAATAGGCAGCTTTAGTTTTCTCCATCAGCTGCTGTCCCTTTGTTGATGTCTTGGCAAAGGGTTTTGCATAGCTTTCAGATTCAAAGAAGCCCTGTCCTCAGCAGTAGAAAAAGAAGTTACATAATTTTGGGTAGATATCCACCTGAGACTTTTTCTGGTGCTTTACATCTATAGATGCAATAAGACTTTCATTCTGTAATTCCCAAAGAGGTAGACTGGGACTTTTCTCTGCCAAGGATCTTTTGAATAATAAGAAGACGCAGTCAGCTCAGGTATTAATAATGACTAGATTTTTTTTTTTTTTTCATTTTTGAGCATACATCTACCAACAAATAGGTGCTGGGCAAATGAGTCTAGGCTCTTCTCTGGTTTTGGTTTTTGGGTTTTTTTGCTATCCTGTATCTTTATTTTAGTTTTTTCCACCTTTCTTTGAATGCAGTTTAAAAAATTGCTTCCCTTGGATACATGAGAAAGTGTGGAATTCAGAGAGACTGTCAGTAACATTCTCATCTATAGCTGGAAAATTGCTCCAGGTACTTCATTAAACAAAAGTCAAGAGAAGTATGACTAATTTTAGATCTTGCCCTTCAGTTTCCTCCACCACAGTTCTACATGGAAATCTAACCTTGTTTATCCAAATTCTTTGCAAATGACGGTCTCTATTATAAATGTCTGTATGAAGCACATTCTCATTTTGCTAGTGCTGCCTGCAACCTCCAATATTTGCTTTTCATGACTAACCCGGAAGGTTTTTAATGCCTTGCTTTTCTGTTTGAATTGGTTATGGCTGTGAGAGTTTTTGAAAATTCAGGTTATTTACATGGCAGCATGTTATTTAAAAGACATCTGGACAAACAGAACCCCCCTATTTATAAACTGATGTCTGTGTTAAGACATTTTGGTTCATAAATCAAAACCTCAGCAGACTTCCAAGTGCACAACAGTGTCATACTCTTCAGACTATGAAACTAGTCTTAAAAAGAGGCTTGCCCTTCTAGCCCTGTAAGACCACATCCATTTTCTTAAATTAAAAGATGTCAGCTCTGACGCAGAAAGTCCCTGAACCACAGTTAGCTGAGAGGCTGGAAGAGTGGCCGGAGGAAGTGTCACTGAATTCTTGCCCTTTCCATACTCCTCTCTAAGCAGCTGCTGCAAATGATACTCGCCAAGATGGAGCTCTGGCTGGGTGTGATGTGACTCTCCTTGCCATCAGAGCAGGAGTTTCTTGACTAGGTCCTTGCCCTGCCTAGCAGTAAACTCATGCAAACAGATGTTCTCCTGAGGAGCACAGTGTTTCTCCTTTTGTGACCATGTGTAAGAAACCTTAACTCTGGTAAATGCATCTGTCACTGTAAACCATTGGTTTGTTCTTATATTGTTACTCTCAATTGTTACTCAGCTACTGTGGGAATCCTCAGAAGTCCAAGCTAGGATTGATGGGAGCTGGACAACGTATCTAACAGCTCACCCACAAATCTGCCAGCTGTGGAGCGATGTCTGTGCAAGCTCCTTTTCACTCACAGCTCCTAAGCAGCAGTCAGCCAAATTGGGACCGAGTTGCTACTTAGACTCCAAGGGTCCAAATCTTTCTCAAGGATTTCCCTGATAAAAGTGTGACAAGCGTGTGTCTATAGGAGAGTGGTGGATTCTGCTTAACTCCATATCTGACACTGAGGGCAGTCACCCAGTCAGGGAGAAGACTGAAGCAAACCAAGTTGTTATGCAGGAGCTGGGGCAAGTATGTTGCAGAGAGAAAGTGCATTTGCATCTGTAGGAACTGCAACAGCAAAGCTCAGTCTTTTTTCTGCCATGAAGTTCCCTCGACTCCTTTCCCACATAGCATCTTTATTGCAACACTTCTTGTCTCCTCAGACCTATCAGCATTACAAAAATGTCCAGAAAATTCTCTGCTGCTGCAGATACTGGCTCAGCTCCGCCAGCATTGGCAATGCAAAGAGATAGGGCAAGCGGTGGCCCTGTCTCTCTCCGTTAGACATGCTGTGAATGTTGGTAGTCTGACAGGTTCATAAAAAGGAAAGGGGGAGTGGCAGGTCGCCTCTTCCTGTTAGAATTAGACAGTAATTGAATTGAATGACATTTACGACTGTGGTGAGAAGCTTTTGAAATACTGCTCTTGTACTTAGACATAGCTGTAAACAGCTTGCTGGTCATAAATCTTGCATTCAGGTGGCCAGGGAATGGTATGGGTAAATAGAGTTCACGCAACTTGGAGCCAATTGTAGATAAGCTGTTTAGCATTGATGTAATGCAATTACTTAAACCCTGCTATAGAGAACAGTTCATATGAGAGCATGGTGCTAATGACAGATGTGACTAAAATCTGTCCACGTTATCAGTTGCTTTTGTCAGTAACTGAAAGCCAGTGACATCAAATGGTAGTGCTGGCAGCTAGCAGAACGTCAGCAAACTCCAGCAGTTTCAACACCTTGTTAAAATTGCATCAGCGTTTTATGATGATGGTATGCTTATGCTACACTTGTGATCCCCAGCTGAGGCAAGCAGCTTGGTTTCTTGCCGTACTCCCCAGAAATAATGATTGCAGTTTTGAAATTTTAGTTGAAGAGAAGTATGTGCTAGTTGTTGGGAGGATATGATGCACTGATTTGATTACAACTAAAAGATTTTTTTGATCTTGTACAAACAAAGTGTTACTCGGCTAGTGTAGAAATGACTAAATCTGGAAGCTATTGAAATAAATATAATGCTGAATAATGAAGGTTCCTTACATTTCTTCTGAGTATTCTTTTGAGAGGGTTTTTAGAAAAAATCCCTAATGATATTGGAGAGACAAGAAAAAGACCTCTAGGGTATTTTTTAAAAATTTGCCTAGAAAACATGATTATCTGTAATAAGTAGTATTCTCAAAACCACATGTAATCCTAAGGGAGTGTATTTTAAGGCATATGCATTTATTTAACTCGAAGTGTCTCAAAATACATGCTGGCAATCAGAGGTTAAATGTCTATTAAGTCATCTTCTGGTGCAGGATCATTTCCTTCCTTTGCTGTATGCCCGAATGCCTAATCTGTTCTTCATTTGAGTGACTCAAGCCGTTGAGCTTCCCTGGCTGCTGCTGGAGATTCTTCCTAGAACCTCCTTGTTCTTACTGGAAAATGTTCTTGCTCATCAAGCTGGAAGTAATTTTCTGATCTCCTACAGATCCTAGTTTTGTTAGCTCCCCTGATAATGTTTCTTCCCTGATCAATTCTTTACTTTCTACTGCCTTTAAACACTTGCAGATAATAGTAACATACATGCCTGTAACAGTATTAATAACAAAGCACTTTTCACCCAGGCATTTAAAATATCTTACATATATGAAGCTTCCCAGCAGTACTGCAAGCCATTAAAAGTATTAATGGTTTTATTTCATGGAGGAATAATGTCACACGGAGGAAGATGCAGTAATGAACTGCATAGATTTCACTCCCAAAAGCTTTTTTCTTATTATTATTTGGGCTATGGTTTGTTGCTGCTATTTTCAGTGAATAAACGTAGAATAATACAGAGGAGGGGTGCAGGTGATACGTGCAGAGTTTGAACATTATATCAGGGAAAAAAAAAGGAATTAACCTCTGGTAGGCATGAAGACAAAAATGGAAGGAATGGGAGGATGAATTCAAGGTTTTTAGTCATGTTTTTATTAGGTTAGAATAAATTTTAAAACTAAAACTTCCACCCAGTTTTTTTCAAAAGGATTCACTGAAGTATTGCTGCCCAAGAAGTTGGACATAAAGTCTTGCTGTCTGTGAGGCTGAGTTGCAGCATTTCTCCATGAGTTGTGACTGCTCATCACTCAGAAAATTGCATGTGCAGGTACTGCTAGAGATGGTGATGGAAAGAGAGTCCTTAGAGCCTTTAGCCTGGGTGGCAGCAATAGGAGTGGCTGTGCTGTGACCATGGCCACTTTCTCAGGGTGTGCAGCACTATTCAGTGTTTCTTTTTAAAATGCTGATTTGAATGTCTGAAGTTTTTCAGTATGCCCAATAGCTAAGATTCTCATTGCACATAAAATGCATGTTATTGTTTGGTTTTGGACAATTCCCGTGTCCTCAGATTATACCCCACTCTTACTAGTTTTCTGGGAGAAAGTAGAATTCCTTTCCTAAGAGGTTTACACTTTAAATAGGGACAAAGTATGGTAGAAAAGACCTACATATCTCATTTATGATGGAAAATGAAGAGAGAAAGAGAGTGCCTGGCTTGTGGGGGTAGGTCAGATGTCACAATCCTTAATATTGTACTTCAGCCATGTGCTAGTGGGAGTTACTTGGAAATTCCCATTTTGACAGTCAGTTTCGTGCTTAAAGCTGTAGTGTTCTTCACTGTCCATCACAGTCTGTTTCTCCCCCAGGTGCTTTCAACATTATGCTTTAATGAATAATTCTCCTTAGTCCTTTTTCAGGTCACTGGTGTTAGGTATTAAATAAGCCAGGAAACGAGAGAACGTGCCTCAGCCCTCCAAATGCTTCCTTCAAACTCATTACAGTATGGTTTATCACTGCACTGCATTTAATGCTCCTGCACTGAGATTTTAGTCTCTGTGGTGATTTTGTGCACAAAGTGATCTGAATTAATTTTTCTCAACGTTTCTGCACAACACTTTATCAAAAGCTTGCTGAAGACTAGGTATGCCAATAAAAAACACATAAAAAATGCATGGCACATGAAACAAATAACTACTTCAGCCATAAAAATATCTTACACATTTTCATTTGGAAGATGCAGAATAGAGAAGTGCAAAAATGGGGCTTTCTACCAGATGTTTTTTAGAAAGCTATCAACAACTGAATGCAAATGGACTGTTGTGAACATTTAAAATATAATGCTACTAATGTTCCAGTAATTAAAAATGCATCCTGTGTTTTTAACAGTAGAGTTGTTATATGTTTTCCTAGCTTAAGTCAGTTAGATGTCTTTGCTGCATTTTTCTGATGCATTCCTAAGCAGCAGATTTTAGCTTCAGTACCCATTTCAATTTTGTGTAGACTGAATTAAACACTTGGAAGGTTGATGCATGGTTACCAGAAAGTTTTATAAAGATTAATATTTTATTGAGCTTTGAAGAAATCTGAAGGCTTATATAAAAAGAAATTAAAGAAAAGCTTGGTGATTTATTTGATTAGGTGGTCTGTTTGGTTTTTAAGTCTGAATACTCATGGGATATAGCTTATTCTGCTCTTAAATCAGATGGCATCCAACAATACATCTTGGCTACTGACTGGATAAATTCAAGTTGATAAACTCCCTGATTTGTAACATTTTCAGCATTTGAAAAGTGAGAGAAGGGTTCCTGGTTATCTCCCCTTTCCAAACACTGGTGAGCACAAGCTGCTGAGGAGGGCAAAGGTGTTGTTTTCAGGTTCCTTCTAGAGCCAGCCAGCCAACAAATGGCAGCTGTGAATTATGAAACTTCAGTTATGCCCTGTCTGCCTGGTGGGTCATGAGGAATGGCACTGTAGAACTTTAATGATACTTTTTTTGAACTCACTTCTAACATGCCTTGGATTTTTTCCTCCCCTACTTCTAGACCCGGACACAGAAGTTTGTCTTCATGCTCTGAGGCTCCTCCAGTCTGTGATTCTGGAGCCAGAAGTATTAGCCAAGTCAGCCTCTGAGATGCGTGATACTTTGCCATTTCAGCGTATCATTGCACTGTCAAAGAGCCGCAATGCAGATCTGCAAGCACTTGCAAAAGAACTACTTGAAGATCTTAAAATACTTGAGTATGAAGGATAGAAGAGCTCTATGACACCAACTGCTTACGTCTTTCCTATATTTTTATGCTGCAAGCATTGTTGGAGATGGGCTTGAGTGACAAAACCTCTGCCTAAGTTCCTCTGACAAAGTCCTTTTTGGAAATTAGGTAACCCAACTAAAATAGTACTTGAGAAAAGTGTTGGGTATTAGCTGCCCAAATATAGTCTTAGATGGTCTGGTAGAGATGGGGCAGACTTAATTTCTTTGAATAGGATTTTGTTGATAATGGGTTTCCAAAATGATCCAGGTTAAGTTGTCTATTTGCCATATATAGGCAGTAAAGTAGTCATTCATTGATAATATATAGTTTATTGCAGTGCGAAATAATCCTTTTGGTCCATCCTTAAGAATTACTGTGCTGTGAGGAATTACTGTGAGAATTACTGTTGCTTTTCATACTCTTCCGTGTCAGAATGCGTCCCAAGTTCCAGCCTTGTTGTTGTTCTTGCTCACCTCTTTTTCTATTCTAATAAAAGAAAGCTTTAATTCTGTAGTGTGTAATGGATTCTGCTTTCGAAATTTGCTTTCACATTCACTCAAACTTCAAGTCGACCTGGTTTGTGGCTGCCAGGCATACTAGAAACCGAGCCTTTGTTTTTTCAAAAGCCATAAAAAAAGGGAACGGATTACTGTTGTCCCTGATACCTAGTTGTGCACTGAAGAGGCTAAAATGAACTGCTGCTCTGTCATGAGCATTGCATTCCTTCACAACTGTGGTGTTTGCTAGAGCTTCTGTGTACAGCTTGCTTACCTCAGTGGTAAATACAAACATCTGTGTGCTTTGTACTGACAGAATTTACATATTTTTTAGAAAAAAATAGCATCCGTTTCTGTCTTGACTGAAACACAGCCAGTTAGGTGGTGCTATTGAAGGGAATAGCAAATGAGAAATGCAATGCTGTGATGGCAAATTTTTCCATACTAAAGTTATGGTACCTCAGTTGTGAACCCAACATATTAGCAAAATACAATGTGGAATTCTAATCCAAATGTATAGAAAACACAAAGGATTCTGACTTCATATGATTTAAATACTGTAATTGACAATAGAGGAAGACCACTGCAAAACAGAAGAGTCAAGGTATAGGTCATCTCCCACTAGGCGATTTGTAGAATGGTGAATGTTCAGAGTTAGAAATGTAATAAATCAGCCCAAAATGACTTGAAGTAATTGGCTCAAATGCTACAAATGGTAGCAGTCTAATTTGGGACTATCTAAAAAGAAGATTAAGGTACAGATCTCACATACATGAAAGGGTTGCATGGGGTTCTGCTGTGTCTGGTTCAACACTACATTGAACTTAACATGTGCAGATTTTTGGGAGGCTTTAAATCCTCTTTAAAGCATACTTGCCTTGGATTTGTTTTTTTATCTTGCTATCCTAGTTAAACCTCCTAGAGTTTAATCCTAGTGGGATCAAAATGATAATCGGTAATTTCCTGAAATGTCAATTCATAAAATTGTTCAATTTTAAGAAACACTACAGGGCATCCACTTTCCATTTAATGGGTATCTGCTCTTTCATCAAACTTCTGGAAGCCATTAAATAACAAAACAAAAAAAGTAGTTCTGTGAGCAGAAGAGCTGGTGAAGGCCTATGTCCTGTGGATTTGAGATTTTTTTGAAAATATTCCTGTTCTTCCCAGCCCTTCCCCCTGCAACCAAGTCCTCCCATGGGGCAGCATGGAGTGCATGAGCTGAGGGTGACACAGGTGCTCATCGCCAGGTTAGTAATCTGTGGCCATGGGCTGTTTAATGGCCACCAAGGACAGTGTATGCTGCTCTGTTGGCTTTGCCCTCCTGAAAGCTTGAATTTAGGTCTTTTCTGCCATTACCCTAGCTGGTCGTGGAGCTTGAAGGAGATTCATTATCTTTGAGAAGTCTCCCTCTATCCAGCTTGCTGGGAGCTGACTGACAGATTGAAATGTTATGAGAGAGACTGGCAATGCAATTACACCTCATTTCCACATGAAATCGGGAAACAAATGAGCCAGGGCTGGTCATTTTAGCTGTGTGTCCGCTGGCTTGGGCAGCACTTGAAGGCCATGCAAAAATACGTGATTCAAGACACTACAGTTTTTCCCCAACAAGCTGCTCAGATCTGAAGATAAGTCTGAATGTCTCCCAGATGACTTTTATTTTCAGGTGTAGTTCACCAGGACTGTTTCTTCAGAATCAAGCCATCAGTGCTCCACCAACCTTGAGAAAGTCTTGTACTGTGTTTCATTATGCAAGATTGACAAATAAGAAAAAGTCACCCCATCTGTGAAACAGTGTATCTTCAGAAATACCAGAGACCAAAATTTCAGAAGCTTCAGAGAGAACCTGTGATCAATAGGCCCCTAGCAAAGTCTATATTTTCTTAAATTTACTTTGTCTAGGTGTTTGCAATTAATGCTGTAATTTTTATTATTTATTTGGGTTTATGAAAAAGAAAAAAAAACACTTGAGGGGAACTTGTTATCATGGAAGCAAATTCATAATACTTTCTGTTTGGAAAAAAAAAAGGTCACTGGAGTCGAATAGTGCTGAAGCAAGGGAAGTGGATAGAAGCCAGGTATAAGCCTGACCCCTTAAAATTTCAGTTTAAGAAATATCATTTCTCATACTTAAATATTCTAGTAAAATAAGTTCAACATTGCTAGTTGCAGATTGCATTATGAGCTGGCATATCTTTTTGCTAGTTTTCAAGTTCCTTTACTCCCTAATCCCCCAATTTGATGGAGCCAGGGACCAGCTCCCTCTTCCTGCTCCTCTACAAGTCTAGGGCTGTGTTGCGATTTGTTGAACCTTTTTGCTGTGGAAGTGAAGCCTGCTGCTTTCCATACAGACATCTGCTATACCCCATGTGTACTGCTGGACACGTCATGGTGCGATTGTCCCAGACTTTGGTGCCTATCAATCATAAACTAATGATCTGGACTCTCCAATGAGCAGCATCAATGCCTTCTTTGTTGTTTCATTCTTCATGCTGAAATTGGTGGGAGTCTCATGCCATCAGCTGTAGACCAAACTCCAGTGACTTGCTGAGACAAGGTGCCCACTGTTTAGATGGCTAAAATTAGGTGAGATGGATCCTACCTTTTGGTGTCTATTTTGCAATAATAGATACAGAGCAAGTTTTACATTTGTTGCTAAGTTTGAGAAATCCTGTTTGGAGGAGAAAAGTGTTTAAAGTTTTAATTTGTCTTCATGTAGATAGTGCCAGAAAATAGGCTAAGTAACTGTGGACCTTCTTGAGTCTTCTGCCTTGAAACACATGGTTTTTTGACAGTTTATGAATGAAAGGAAGTCTCTAAATAACAGGTGCTTCTCAAAAAACTTGGAGCATGTCAAAGCTTTATTTACAAAGTTGAACAATGGGTGATATACAGAACACAATATGACACCACAAGGTGCTGCTGCAGTTAAAGACTGGCTAACATGCATTATAAATCTCTGGGTTTACTTTGCTGTGAAGTTTTCCTTCAGTCTGACACTGGGCCATTAGGAAGTTTCACTGGTTTAAAATCAAGAGCTCAGCTCAGCTTTGGAAAACACCAGCTTTCAAATGTTGCTTTTCCTGCATCCTGTTAAAAAGTTGGGGATTCTTCAGTGTAGTAATTGATTAACTGCATTACAAGTTTGCAGGAGAAAAGGCAGTTCACACAGTCAAAGCACTAGTTTCACTAGGCCCGTTCAAAGTCCAGAGTTAATCCGTTGTTGCCATTTCCTCTGTTGCACAATCTCAGAGTTTCAGTGAAGAAGAAGATGTAAGTTTGGTGTTGCTTTGTTATTATCAGAGTTACTCCAGATTTATACCCATACAACTGAAAGTAAAATTTGGCTCATGCTAAGTCATCTCAAAAGATTAAAAATCTGTTTTAAAAATCAATATAAGAAAGCACCTATTTACTTCAGAGTATCAGCTGCACAATTGAAATTGAACTTTGCTCCTATCAGTTTTACATACTGTGTACAGAGCTGATGAAATGACGTTGGTTTGCTGACGCTCCTGGGAAATACTGGCTTTGCATATTTGATGCTGATGATCAATTAGATGCAAAGGAAAAATAAATGAGGATCTCCTAAATGTATTTCCTGTAACTTAAGAAATTTAGCTATGTAATGGACTGTCCACACAGTTGTTTTGTGTGGTATTTTAGGGTGATGTTTGGCTTGGACTGTGAGCCGGCTGAAAAGAAGCTGGAAAACCTCAGCAGAAGAAAGTAAGGCCTGGTCTGAAGACAGACCTTACCCAGCGGCTTTGTGCCCCGTGCTGAGTGGCAGGCATGGCACTGCGAGTGGCCTGGCATCTCTGAAGGGGACTGTGAGGGCCTGGATGAGAATGGCAACCAGCTGCTCAGTTCCTGAGGGAAGCTGGTGTTTGGTTGCATGCCAGCGCTGGTCCACTCCCAGGAGCTCATGACAAAGGAGTTAAAGACACATCATCCTGTTATGGTTGTTTAAGAGAGGGAAGTAAGGAGGAGGAAGAATGGGAGAGGGTGGCAATTTGGTCATATGGCCATGAGTGAACTTTCATATGATTCAGTTTCAGCAGGTTGCACCAGTTGTTTAGCTGCTCCTTTGAGTTAACATTTGCACTTGTGATAATGCGCTGATTATCACAAATTGGACTTCAGAATTGATAAGATTTTACAAGTCTTGCAAATGTTGTATGATTCATCTCCTCTGCTGTTTTCAGTCCTGCAAGGATGCTGGAGCTGAGGAGAAAGGAGTTTTAGTGAGGAATAAAGAACTTCTGTTTCCTCTGTTATCCCAACCCAAGAAGTTAAGGGATTTGCAAAACATGGCTGCCCCTTCCCTTCCTTCATGGCTTCTAATTTGCAGCTGCATCTGGCTGTGTCTATATTGTTATGTAGGTAATTGTCCTGATTTGTATGCAGGAACTTTTGCAACTGCTAGTTGCTTCTCATATATGTGAATTACAAGTTACAGCTGATAAAAAGTCATTAAAAAACTCTTGAGGTCATACGGATTTTAACTTCTCCAGTGCTTTACAATGACCTTTACAACCTATATCTTGTTTGGTCGGAAACCTTAAAAAGACTTTGACCAAATTATAGTTCCGCATGTAATTTATAGGACTATAATTTTTACTGCGGGTGTGACTGCAGTTAAAAGCAATTCTGATGCCAGGTGCTCAGTCTTTTTGAGTGCGTGTGGTTTGCATTTTCTATGCCGTTGGGCTGCAGTCGTGAGAGGCAGCAATCACTGAGGGCAAGGCTGGTGTGGGCCTCAGCAAGGGCTGGGGAAGGGCAAGATGTTGTGCAACCTGCATGGTTCTGCCAGGTGGATGGGGAAGGTCAGGTCCAACTGAGCTGCGTAAGTGGCTTTCATGCGACCTAGGTCTTGCTTTGAACTGAGGCAGGGGAATGGATCAGGTCTTAGGAAAGCAAGTGAGCTGTTTGAAGCTCTCTGCAGAGAAATAAATGCCTCCTTTCTTCTGTAGCTGTATCGCCACCAGTG